ACCACCTGGTGGAGGAGGAAAGGAAACACAAAAACAGACCACACAAACTGGATTCCTGACACTGACGAAGAAATTAGGAAACTATCACAGCGCCTGTTAGTGGAACGGCCTGGGGTCCCACTGGTAAAGATAAATTTCAAGAGCATCAAAACCGGGATTGAAGTGCAAGACACTGTTCCTCAAGGCTTAGTTGGCCCAAGTTCTGCTGTGCCTGTACATATTGAAGGCATTCACTTCTAAAGCTTCTAGACACTGGCTCTCAAGTCACTACTATACAGATATTTCTACAATAGATACCTGACTCACCTGCCATTGACACCTATAAGTGCTTTGCAGATATGGGTTTTCAGTCCTGCAGATTACCCATATGAAGGCTTCCTGTTACTCAAGTTAGAATTCAGGGAAAGAGACATAGGCATGACAGAGGCAATTGATGCACGTGTGTTGGTGTTTCCCGATCCAGTTGTAAAAGACAATGCATCTATACGGGTTGGTTAAAACAAACACACTGTGAGAAGACTTTTTAGAAGTTACAATGATCAAGAAGAAGGAAATGTTGCCATAGCAGCACATATCCATCATGCTTTTAAAAAGACTTCTGAGGAAATTGCAAAATATCCACTCAACACTGACACTTGCAGCAGATTTTCCGTATGGTTTGCTCAATCAAAACCAATAACATTGCAGTAAGGTGGTGTAGCAAGGGTGAAAGGGATACCAAAGTTTAGAGAAATTCGAAGCACTCAGGCCATTTTGGTGGACTCACCTGATGAACTCATAGAGGATTCGAGGTTTCCAGACCTACTTATAATTAGACCGGAATTGCAGTCACCCACTGTAGTAAGAAAATCACTGCCCTGGTTAGAAACAAATTGACCAAAGATATCTCACTTCCTATAGGTATGACAATTGCTGAAGTCTTCCCAGTTGATGTTCTATCAACACCTGCTACCAGTAAAGAGATTGATCTCAAGTCTTTAAAGCTGCAGTCTGTAACATTGAGAAGAGAGCAGACTTCGACTGAAAATTTGAAGAAANGTTTATATGAAGGTTTATTTCTCCGTGTGTGACAAAGTGGTTCAGTTTGTGTTTACCACTTGTCCCTTATTCATTCTTCTGATTTGTAATGCCTAAATTTAAAAATTAGTTTGCAACTTTGCTTCACTTACTATCCCGGGTTTGTTTGTGTTAGCATTATGTTGCAGTTTCCATCTATTTATGTTTAGGTTAAAGCTATTACTTCTGGATTATTGGTTGAAATTGTTTATTTTGTTTTGGTATTTGTTTTCCTTTTTACTCACAATTGTTTATCCAAGTATTTCCTGCTAAATTGGCTAGATGATGTCATCAATTACCTTGCTGGGTTCTACCATTTAGAGGGTTTCCTTTGGAGTAATGCTTTGTTTGTTTTTCTTTAAAGTAACTTTTTGAGTTATCTTGTATTATGTTGTTTATTTTGTTTGTTTATGTAGATGAGTTTGTAAATGATGAATAAAAGATGAATAATTTTAGTCTTGTTTCTCTGTTTGTTTGTTTTTTTTTTTTTCTACCTGTTTAATTGTGGCTTGGTCCACTCAAATGCAGGCTTGTTGCCACTTGGTTATATAAGCACTGAGCTCTTGGAAGCTCAGGGAGGGTTGTCAGAGTGAAAATACTGAATAAAAGACAACAGAGAAATCTGGAACCATTGGCTGAAGCAGTTTTTTTTTTGTTTACCTTACTGATCCTCAGTCAGTGACGGGGCCCTAAGCAACTGCAGTCTCTGCTTACCGATATTTACACCATTGAAAGATACTAACGTTTCAATAAACACAATAGATTTTTTGAACACAATTTGATCATGTGATTATGTACAATAGCTTATGTATCTTGAGGTTTAGAAAAATATGATTAATGTTAGGATGTTGGCCACATTATGCCTTATTTATATTCTGGTAAATTCACTTGATTAATAGCTTCCATTGTCCAAATTTTGTTATCTTATAAGACCTTTACATGAAAAAATGATATGACCTGGAAAAAAATACTCATAGCATGATGTCAAATTCAGTATGGGCACATGATACAGCCACTGTTTACTGGATTCTCTATGACATAGTAGATACATTCAACAAATCTGAAAAAAAGAGAGTTGGACATGTTTATGGCTGAGGAAAAAAGACCAATTTCAGATGTTGGTTTACTGAGAGGTTCTGGTCTAATGTGTTAATACATTAGCTTGCTGTATTACATCTGCATTTAAACAAACAGCAATTTGTTCTTTTTACAATACTAACGTAAGCAAGGCATTCTGTAAAGTGCTTTGAGATGACATGTGTTTTCAATTGGCGTTATATAAATAAAGTGGATAGAACTGAGTAGATCCATGGGTCATCGGGACTGCTAAATTAATCAGAGTTTTTTTGGGTCAACAGTGAAGACTGGTCTATAAAACATTCAGTTAGTGTTTATAGTGAAAATTAAGGACATGTATAATCTCAGGGCACTTTAGAGAGACAATTCAGAGAAGTTATATGGAGGCCAATAGTAGATTCTCTTTAGGACAAAAATCAAGACACTCAAATGATTCTCTTAAAATTCCTGCCAGATTTTCACGCTTTTCACAAGGAAACCGCATCCATTTTGCTTATATTCTATGTCCATACATGACATGCCAACTCTGTAAAACTGTAACTAGAGCGTGTAA